TATTGTATTAGCCCCTCTTCAGTTCTTCGACCACTCAAAGTGCTTTCTCAACAGTGCCCACAAATTCACCCCTTTCACAACATTCACACAGCGATGGCAAGCAGGAAGACACAGAACTAACTTATTCATACACCAATGCATGCATCGGGGGAGCATTCAGAGGTTCAGCTATCTTCGCTCAAGTTACGTCGACACGGCAGCGGGATCGTAACCAACAACCTTCGATTGGGGGACGACTGCCTCTTAAGCACAGGTCCATTTACCATTTACCATCTCAAAGGCTCCACTTACACACTGCTTTTGTGCCTGCTGTAGCCAGTTTCATCAAATATACTTGAAGCTTAGTGTTGCAGCATCCGCTCCTCATAGTGTTCAATACAGTCAGTAAAACACACACCCTTCAGAGCCACTTTTCCAACCTACAATACTTAAAAGTAGGGTTGGGCATCATTGTTACATCTGACTGGTTCTGTGTAATTTAATAAAACAATATCTAATTACATACACCAGTGCACAAGATTCTGTCCTTTTATTAATTTATGATAACAGTGTCATATAACACTTGGCTTCTGTTAACTCATTGCATTAGTTGGATGTTTTGGGGTTTATATCACACACACACACACACACACAGACACACAGACACAGCTTTAAAACTCCCCTGTTAGGATTACCATGTCGGTCTTGCGCCAACACGACTAACTTGACATCTTTTTTGTGTACCAGCTCTCTTTTTCATCCGAACCCTACCCCCAGCTGCACTTCTCCAACATCTTGGTCATTTTGTTTGTCTGAATTAGACTGGACAGTCATTACATCCTCAGTGGAATGATGCAGAATCAAATATGTAAAATGAACGCACTGTAGCAGCTTGTACACTCTCTGGTTCTACTTTGGATGAGTTTACAGATTACACTCACTTGAGAACTGTATCATAATGTCTGAAACCAAAACACAATTTTCAAGCCGGACAAAATTGCTCCAGATTGTTTAATGCAAATCTTGATCTTTGCCATAAGGAGTAAGGAATTAATTGTATCAACAAAAATAATAACTACGTTTTAGGGTTAGGGTTAGAGAGCCCTACCTCTCCGCTGCAGGTCGTACTGTGTCCTGGTGTTCTGGTCACTGAGGATCCTCCAGGCAGCAGCAACTTCAAGAAACTTCTTCACGCCATACTCCGCTTCTGAAGAGCCCTCACCTCCAAGACGATCTGGGTGGTACTGTGCGTACACACAAACATTATTTGTCAAACTCAGACTGCTGAAGACTTCTGTTGGACTATATATTAGACTGCAGCCTAACTTAACTCTATTAACTCTATTTTAACATGCAGGGAGAGTTGTCATCCCCATGGAGTTCTGCTAGCTAAGGATCCAGTAGCCAGAATGAACTGGAGCAATGACTGCAGTGACCCATAACTTCCTCAACGTACATATGGGCATATGTGGCCTAGATCTTTTTTCAGCAGTGGCAAAAAATGTCAGCCTTTTCCCTCAGTTTTCAATACAAAAAGCAATTTCACATTGGTTTGGACCATTATTAGTCCCATTACCATCTGTGTACAAAAGTTGGAAAAGCTAGAGCAGATAATCAAAGAACACCCAGCAGTCCACTGGGGAGCCTCTACAAAAATACATTTTCAGGGTGGTTTTCATGACTAGTCTCTACATTTCCAGGTTTACCAGGTGTGGGAACCATGATTTAGTATTAATCATTTACGCTTGAACAGGAGCTGCTATTTCTTGAATTATCATCAACACAGACAAATCATGTTTTTACGTTGTAGCCTCTGTCTGAGGTCAGTTTGAACTGTGCCTATGTGCCAAGCCCTGTGTGAACAGACAGTGGTTGTGTGTCGCTTCAGGCCGACAGAGACAGACAGGGCAGTGTGTTTACCTGTAAGGCCAGCTGCTGGTATCTGTGTTTGAGCTGCTGGACCGAGTCTGAGGAGCTGGCTCCCAGGACAGCGTACAGGTCCTTCTCTGCTGCTTCACACATCCCTGCTGTAAAACAACACAGACCTCTTAAGCTCTGTCTATATCTCTAGATCTCTGGTTCACAACCGTTCTGATTAAGGGAGCCCTTTTCTATCATTAAGTAAACTGACTGACATATTTTAAGGATATTACATATCTCATTGAATGCATAACAATAACAGTAGAGAACAACTGATACAACTGTATGAACCCAAACAATGAACACAATAACTGCAGGAAGTAAAACAAGCCATTTGGATGCATTTTGAGCAGATTAGCTCTAGAAGCCCTATAATATTTCATTAGTAATACTATGTATCTAGATCTTTGTAGTATTCCTGTTCTATTTGAAATAATATTACTATTGTATATTGTTTCTGTTGTTTGTGAGCGTATTATAGAACATTCTTATAGTAATTCTATGATGATGCTTTAGTAAATGTAAAGTATTACTATATTGATTTTAATAGTATT